TGTATAGTTTCTTCTTCGGTTTATACTGAGATGACTAAAACTGCCCTGTGAAATTGGCCGATTATTTAATATTAAACTGCCCCACTACACACTTATCAGTTTATATTATGTATATCTGATTGTATTTGCACACTGTAACCAGTGATATTGGTGCCAAATTGAGTATGATGTTATCAGGTTAACCTCAAAACATGCATAAGAAAAGTAATTCAATTTTGAGGTTTATACGGATTTATTGATTTCAGGTTGATATTCACCATAGACTAACATCAGCTGGAGGAAGACAGGAAATTTCGGAGAACTGGAAAGTTGTTTCACCCTGGTACAGGACTCTTCAGCAGTGCGCACCCAAAGCCCCCGCTAGCTAGGGGCCAAACCTGGGACCTTCAGGTTCCACGGCCAGAATGTTACCATTGAAGCATTGGGTGCCTGACGGGGTCATGGGTGCGCGTTGCTGAGGAAACCCACACTTAGATGAAACAGCGGTCCAGTGCTCCCAGGTTCACCATGTTCTTCCAACTTGTGTCAGTCCATGATGAATACTCAACCTGAAAACAAAAGAACTAACTTGACATTCACACAAAGGTCAAAATACATTATGTATAGAGAAAATTATAGGTTCAAAAGACACAAGGAGTTAAGAATTTCTTCCTGACTGAAATTACTGTGCATATCAAAATAAAACCACCAGGTAGCGAATCAGTAAGATGACCTAAAACTTTTTCAGATGTGAAATATAGTGATGAAAAGCTATAAGTTGAGGTGAAACTTTTCATACAGATTTAGTTGTTTTGGTAGTAGATGCTGAGAGTCGTTCAGCAGAAAGACTTCAATACTAATTTAACCATTTTTCAAGCTTTTCATTTGAGTGGAAAACATTTAAGGGTTGAACTAGGTAGACATCAATAATCATAATACACACTGACAAGAATGTAAGACAGCCTAACTTATTTAGTTACTTGTAAATGAAATTTTATTTGAGAAAGAATTTTTCATGGTAGGGTTTAAAAGGATGCAGTTGTGTACATTTATGCAAAACGCTAATACTATACCTTCTATTAAGTATTAGTTGATAACGATTTGTAGCATAACACCGAGGGATTTCACAGTGTGAAAGTCAAGTCCATCGAGCAATTCACTTATATATATGTACACTCAGTGTAAAGCGTTGACAGTCAAATTTGAAAATAGGCATAAGATTAGTATGTGGAATTGGGTATGGAAAGTGAGCAAGCAATTGCTTAGTGGATAATATGTGAATCCATATTATTCAGATATGGAGAGGATTAAGTGTTAGGTGTCAGGACTGGGGATACTGCTTAATTGAGAAAAGTAAGTTGAGCGACATTAGATGTGGTATCTGACTAAAATTTCATGCTGATTTTGGTTTCTTTCAGTTAACTGATACAAGATTTCGAAGATATGTGTGTGTGTGAGATTGTCAGTTCCTGCTGAAAACGGCGTACCTAGATCCATAGCTGCCCCTGGGAATTATCCATGAACTGGTCTGCAGACAGCCCTAACTCGTCGGAATGGTTTTCAACTACTCACTTCAGTTAGTAGTACATACCGTGTATAAGATGACCTTAGTTTAACAGTGGTCAAACAGTAGTAGAGTGAAATTTGTACTACCTCAATATGGTATATATTTTAATGTTTTAGATAAGAAGTACAGACTGATATCTGAATGTACTTACCCATAGATTTTATACACATGAGCTAGCTTAGGAAGAGTTTGGTTTCATATTGTAGCATAGCATTCAGGTAGTTGATTACATATACATAGAGACACACTTATTGCAGCTCATTTTTAGACACTGTAGTGTTCACAACAACAAACAATAGAATTGTGGTAATTCGTATGAATGTTCTTTGAAGAGGTGTTGAACAAAATTTGTCTATTATTTTGCCCAGAACTCCCATCAATTATAATGGTTTGATATAGAAAGTCAACAGCAGTTAAAAAAGAGACCAAACAAAGTGAATAAGTTTCTATTGATGCATTTCGTTCACTAAAAGAATAGCTTTCAGAAACTGAACAAAAATGAGATGTGGAAAGCTGGATTTACCATTTTCTGTTGTCTTTTGTTGAAATTCTAACTCTTAATTCGACTTTAACATAAACATCAAATGAGTAAATCCATTTAATCTTGGAAGACTTTGTTGAAATTACTGTGGAATGCTAAGCGGCAAGATAGAGGATGAATGCCTAGAACTTTGTACATTCTCTTCTTAACTAAACCAATACGTATGGCAATAACTGACTCATTTATACCCTATTCCGTAAGGTTGGATGAATGAACATTTATAAATGAACAAAGTTAGTCATATATGCGGTATGTAATGGGTAATTAAAGTGCTGTTTTAAAACTACTGACTACACAAAATAGCTTTTCGCATTTATATGTTTGAAAGCATCTTCGAAACTTTGCATTGAGCAGTTTTTGGCTTTAAACCGATATTGATGGCTATCGCAGTAGAATTACATGGTTACTTTCCCCTCAATAAGGTGGTCCCCAGTAATTATCGTCCAAGAAAAATGAATTTGAATGATTCGTTGCTTCCATTAGCAACATACAAAAGAAGGTCCAACGTATCATAAAGAAAAAGCAAAAAACATTTCTCATACTTTTCGAAAAATCCAGCATCGTAAACTGATTACTTGCAAATGAAACATCACCGCTCTAATTGTCTACATTTATTTCGAATTTATCATGATACTAGAAACATTGGTTTCTCGATACGAGTTTAAAACAAGAGATGAATATGAAAAAAGTAGGATTTAGTGAATTCATAAATTTCAGTAGTACTCACCAACCGGATACTGTACATACTTGGCTATATATACCATCAAGTAATACATACCTATATATATGACGTAGACTTAGACTGAGACATCGATATAAGTGTAAAAAAATGGAAAGGTAATGGGAAAGGTAGGAGTGCATGCTCAAGTTGAATGGGTTGAAGATAGGTTACATAAATAGTTTTGAGCTTAGGCTGTAGTGCAGTCTAAAGAGTCATGTGGATTCCAAGCAAGAAAATAAAGATAACAATAGTTTTGGGGGGGTTTAGTGGGGACTTATTGATTTCAAGTTGGTATTCATCACGGACTGACACCAGTTGGGGAAACACTGGAAGCCTGGTGCCTGTGGACAGCTGTTTTGTTTTAGTGTGGGACTCCCCAGGAGTGCGCACCCATAGCCCTGCCGGGGATCGAACCCAGGAACTTTAGGTTTCACGGAGGAGGTGTTATCCATTCAGCTTCCAAGACGAAGTTTAGGGATCCGCAGTTTTCCATTTCTATCAGTTCGTGACATAGCGCGACTATCATCCATCCAGTTGGGTTCCGCTTCACTTCCAACTGGCTGGCCCCACAGGTCACCGTTTCTCATTGGAATTTCAGGATATTCAGCTCGAAGCATGTCACTAATGAGCACAAGGTAGTAATGCGGGCTGAGGTTAATAGGGATTCTAGTTTTAAAGAAGTATTCATTTCAGACTGAAATCATTTGAAGTAGTGGGTGTGCACTATAGAGGAATCCCTTAATAGGACGAAACAGCTGTCCACTAGGCGTTTCGTTATCGAACTCCTCAGGGTCTTCTTTTCTGCTCAGCCATTCAGGTAGACGAACGTTTGTCCGTACGACCACTGTATTTACTTCCACAGTCACATCCAAACTGATACATGCACTTAGATTTGTCAGAGATCGGAGCCCCATCTTCCCCTAATTGTTGCAGTGCCCCTTTGGTGGTACTGAGGAGTACTAGTTTAGAAGTGCAATAAGTCATTCTGATAGACTTCTTCGATCTTCGTCTAACTACCTCTAGTACATAATCACCATTCTGTTAAGGATATTGTCCTGATTCTTACTAATTTTGTCTGCTCGCCGGCAAAGCTTTTTGTGTACTCACTTTTCACTAGCAGTTTTTCAGAGTCCTTATTTTGTAGTCACGATGGTATCGTAACAAATTTTCTTGGCTATACTAAACATTCTTTTTGCATTGGATCACGACGAGGCTCTTAAAATGAAGGTACTGCCTCATCCATCAGTATCTCGATGGATTTATCGACTATTTTCACTAATGAGACATCTGAGAAACTGATCATATTATTTTCTTCGTGCTCAACCGCGAAAGTTGGGTTTCTTTAGTAGTCTTTCTGTTCTTCTTTTACTTTCAGATATAATAAAGATATCATCCGTGTAACACTGGTACAGTTCCGTCTGATTTGCCAAGCACTTCAAGCTACCGGTTTCCAGAACTAACAGAAATACATCACATATATTTTTGATGAAAAATTCATTAAAGGAAACTAAATAGACTGATTTTTCGGCCACTGTTAACTACATCATTCAGTGGCAGTTATTGAAATCACATCTTAGGAACTCAGAATCTTGATTGAAGTGTTACTTACATAACTGCCATTACGCATTCCTTCGATCAGGGATTTATTCGAAGAGAAATAAACTCATTCACTCGCTTTGCTATCGAATACGTAATAGTTGTAACACAGACTGTGTGCAAGTTAAACTTGACTTTCTAAGAGAGACGCTTGCGGAAAACGGCTAAGAAAGCCAATTTACTGATAAGAATATGCAAAAATAGAAGTGCGAAACCAGTCATCAGCTCAGTTTCTAAAAAGATTATGTTCATGGTTCTAAAATTTAAAGATGATGCACCATCAGACTTCCTAAAAATCGTCTTTCGAGACCACTTGGTTTCTTTTCTCAGCCAAAATTCATCTAACCTTAACTAGTCTTAAATTGTTCCCCACTTGTACGAAAGACAATATCCCTCGATGGACCAACTTTATGTGTATCTACCAGTTCACCTGCTTCTATACAGCTAGGTACATCGGTCGTAGTCAGAGATTGCTGTCAATATATATACCAGAATTTAGTCTATTCATGTAAAAAAAAACCAAACAAAAACTTCTAACCGTTACAACTAACTGTTTTTTACTCATGTAAAAAAATACTTTTTTTCTTATTTTTCAGGTTCAATACTTCCTACGTCAGCCAAGTAAAGAATTTGATCTGGACAAAAATACAGGCAAATTAACAGTGCGTAAAAATATAATTGACTCTGGTAAACATCATTCGAATGAATTATTTGAAAAATTCTTAAATTTATTAGATCGTGAACAGAAAGACACTTATGAGCTAACAGTATATGCTGAAGATTCTGGTAATCCACCAAGGCGTGCAACTACAGTTATACATATCAGTATATCAGATGTGAATGATCATGCACCAGAGTTTCGTTATCCTACACCTCATGGTGTAGGCAGTATACTGAATGTATCATGTGCACAGTTGGGAAGTCAAATCATAGCTCATGTTCACGCTAATGACTCGGATACAGGACGCAATGGTGATATTGAGTACAGTATCATACGTCAAGGTAGTAGAACACAATTTCAAAAAGTAAAACGAAGTGGTGGTATGTTGTCAGATATTCAAGAGAAATTAGAAACTACACAATCTCACAACAAAATTCTGAAGTCAAATGAAACTTTTCCCTCAGAAACAAAACAATATAAACAGGATGATATAAATAAAACCATAGAAGTAAAAAACTCCTCGAACACAAATACAAGACATGTGAAATGGGCGCCATTATCACAAGTACTTTTAGGTGGACCGACAGAAGAACACTTTGATATTGATAGTTATAGTGGACAATTATTTCTTATTCATCCAATACTTGACTGTAGTCAGTCAGTCGATGTGAAATTATTAATTCAAGCAACTGATGCTGGTCAACCACCAAAGTCATCTACAGCTCTTTTAACACTACATGTTTATCCAATGACTGTAACAAATGGATTGGACATTGAAACTAACAACAACAATATCAATAATAATAACCATAATAATTTTATGAGCATTGCTGATACCCGACGTAATCCAGATTTCAATCGACGTGTAAGCAATAATCCGAATACTTGGATAGAAAATAAACATTTACGATCGGTTTATCAGCGTACTGGAATCAGTGCATCCGCTTCTGGAATATCGACAACACAAAGAAATGTGAATAATTATCATTGGTCGGCAATTGTTGGTCTAATAGTAGCCATGATTGTTCTTGTACTCTTATTGTGTTTGATGTTGATTATTTTAAGAAGACGTTTTATTATGGATGCAAGAAAACTGCCTCCTAAAGGTATCTGATAGTTATTTGATATTTTCCTATTTATGAGTATTAATTAGTAGGTATATACTGATCACATCCGTTTTGTTTTCATACAGTTATAATATTCTGTTGTAGCTTATTTGGTGGATAGTAAGAGGATTTAGGATGTACGTTTCGGCCTACTTGGGATTCGTCAGCTGGAGGTACCCGCATCCCAGTAAGTGATGCTGTTCTCAGTGTTGAGGCATCCACATAGAAATCCATACGCCAACAGAGATTGAACAATTAGACCCAGCATAGAGACGGAAAAATACAAGTATCAATAAACAGTTTTTAATTTTTGTTTCATCGGAATGCTTCAACATAGCATTAGTTGACTTCATCAGTAAGTAATTCATAAAGGAGTGGACTGTTCCTAGACACATGCTTGGGTATTCTTTCACTGACTGTGAGTATATATTCCGTGACTTCATCAAGTCTTTTACTATGATGAAAAGATGGGTTAATTTGACGTACGGCGATTTAACTCAGCCATTATTGTGCCATACCATAAATTGTGTTAAAGTTTTTAGGAAATCCGTCAACTAACTTCTGGTTAGCATATGGATTCATTTCAGAAGAACATCACATTATCTGAGGGTTAGTTCTGATGTCGTCTTCCTCAGTCTGAATGTCAAATATCTAAGAATACTAGAATTGCGACAGTATTCACTAATTATACTACTTTTTAACCGATTATTTGTTCCTCCCATAGTCATGAGTGAGTTTCATAACCAGCAGCTGAAATCCTTCGGTTTTTGTAAATGATACTATCTGTAAGTGAAGCCATTGGTTAGTGTTTACTAATTTGCGCGTGAAACTGAAGTTCTCTGGCTGAACATCACTATTCATTTAAAAATATAACAATATTAGTGTCATTTTGATTAAATCACGGTGAAATTATTTCTATCAAGTATAATTGTTTTTACATCATACCGTCGTTGATTGCGCATCCTAGATTCCACTGCTAGCCACCATCCATCATTAATATTATTATCAAGGTTTTATTAAAGTATTTCTGGATGAAAAATCAGGATCTCTGTAGAAATAAGACCGAAATACTTGTTGTTACAATCACTTCCTCTTATGTACAATAAGTGATGAACTTTCTGGTATCTAATTCAATCTACCCTCCTTTTTTTATCACTCTTTCAATTTTGCTTTCTTTTTATTCTGATTTCATTTCTTTGCACTATGCTAGATTAATGTAAATTCAACTGATAAAATATTGTTCTGACTTATGCAATCATTCATAGCAAAACGTCAGCTGTGAATCTCATAAATGAAGTGTCACTATTTCGAATCCTGCAATGGAGGAGATTTTCCTTTCACTTTCAGACATCACCCAGTATCACTACAATTCTTCCAGATCATAGATATTTCAGCTAGTCAAACATATTAGTATGTGAGGTAGTGTTCATCAGGAACTGACATCAGTTAGGGAATCATTGAAAACCATGGAGGACTGAACAGCTATTTCTTCCTAGTATGGGACTTTTCAGCAGTACGCACCCACGACTGAAGATCCTAATTTCGATCCCTAACCGGGTCGTATGTGCGTACTGCTGAGGAGTCCTATACTAGGACGAAACAGCTGCCAAGTGCTTCCAGGTTTTCAATAGTTTCCCGATTGATGTCATTCCATGATGAATACTACCTCAAAATTAAAATCCTCATTCATTTCAAAAATAGATCAGTATGTATTAGCTTTTCCTGGTTCCTGTGGGTAGTTCAGACATCAACCCCTGTAGAGCTGACCGACAGCATTTCTGTTTTTTATCGAAAATATTTTCCTTCGTTGATATTCACTTTTCTTCCTCATCTCTTCATCCTGATTTTTCTGTCTGCTTTTGAGCTATGTATTGGCGTGAAAATTTGTTGTGTAGCTTTAGGTGTTGAGTAGAAGAGATGAAAAACTACTACTTTTTATAACAAGATGTATATGGATAAACATAAAGAAAAAACTATTTTGCCAGAAGATGAATAAATTTAAATACAGCACATTGTGAGTGAAAACGACTGAATTACACTCCTTTTGTCAAACAATGAAGATACTGTTTGGTTTTTCCGTCCGAAAAAAGGTGGTGTCGTTGTCAGTCAATTACTCATTGTCTAAGTTTCTGGTGTTGAAAGTATTTACCTATAAATCCATAAGCTGTTTCTTTGAATAGTAAGTTATGGTAAGAGAAATCAGTAGTAAAATAAAATTTGTACTGCTTGCCTTTCCCCAGTTGGATTTCATCAGGATATTTTTGTGTTTAGCATCGGACATATCTGTGTCGCTCGGTAAAGTTATGCACATCACAGTGAATAATAGAGGACTACTGACTATAACAGTCTTAGTTGGGCTGTATTACACTACTTAATTATGGCGAAACTAACACAGATATCATAGTATGGCTCGAACTGCTATTCTAATATACAACGACCTAGAGTTCAATCTCATCATAATGATTACCAACATGTATTCGAGAGAATTTTTCTGATTAAAGTGTAATCCACAGCCAGACTACTAGGTACTGAAAATACGACAAATAAATGAGCATTTTATTAACGAATTGACCGAGTAGATTGTTAAAAATACGTAGACGGTTCTAACACAACGAAACACTTGGACTGGATAGGAATACTGACTGTTCTCCCTCAATATTTTATACTTCACCGAGTCATGAAAATACTCAGAAACTATGTGATTTATCATCGTAAAACCCATCTAAATACCCTTCGGTATAGTCAAAGTAGACTTATTTATGGTGAGCAGCGAAATACAGGATGCACGTTTCATATCATTAGGGAATGATCGGCTGAGTGTGCCTGTACCTCAGTGAGCTGCGTTGTTCCCACTAACAATCAGGCCCCTTACCAATCGTTTTGAACATTAAAGCCTTACCCATTAAATCTCTGAAGCACGATAGCTACCTCTTGTACAACCGGTATCCGTTACTATTTATTGATACTTCCAATTTTCCATCGTCATATGGGATAAGACTGCTTGACCTCTCTTAACAGATGGATGCCTATGCGGATGCTTCGAAATTATCTGAATATTTGAGGCGATGGGTAGGTTGTTCAGGTTTCAGTGGGAACAGCATCACTCACTGGGATGCAGGGACAACCAGTTGACGAGTCCCAAATTGGACGAAACATGCGTCTAGGATTCCAATGCAAACCACAAGCAAGTCAGTTAAAACAGCAAATATTCAGGGGCCCATATCCCAGCAAAGGTTGACAAGTTCGATCCGGTATGAAGACGGATGATTACAAGTATCAACAAATAATAATCCTATTTCTCACTTATATATAATCAAGCAGATGAGACAATATTTACAGAATGATTATGATCGGCAATGGTAACTTCTTGGTGCAATCAACTGGTATGTTGTTAACCATTTGTCCAAAGAAAAAAATATTTTTTTAAAAGGATTTAACTGACATCATATATAAAAATACAACTTAAATAGCGGACATCTGAAACATTATTAACTTTATTTATGCACATATATACTACTGAAATCCCCAGTAGAATACTGAATTGTAAATGACAGGAAACAAGTTACAAACTACTTTTATACATCATAGAACAATTAACACAAGCTTGTATGGGTAAGAACTCTTGGGCGTCGAAAGAATAGCACTGGTGGAATATTAAGAGTCATAAATGACTCTTCAGTTTGTGTTCCATTGTATTCATTCATTGCTTAAATTCACACTGGCTAATATGATAAATATAACTTTAATCTTTCAAAGTTAATAATTACATATAATGACAACTGGTTTTGCCAATAGAATGGAATCGATTTATCGATAAAATTGTGGTCTTTAAGAAAAGAGAATGGTTATGGCGTGTTCAGACCAACTGGATCTGCGAAACGTTTAGAGTTATCTTTGTTGAGTATTATCATTGTTACTATAGTCTACTACGATAGGGAACATTTAACAGCCTCCATTTCCTGATTGATGACGGTTGCTTCAACTTCCAAGAAACGGTGTCAATGACGCCCAAATCTATAGATCAGTACATTTCAACGTAGCCACGGAGTTGTATCTAGTAGTTCATGTTTCCAACCCCAGTCGGTTTACTATACAATGTAGCTGTCACATAGTGACACTGATAGGCATTTGCTGTTCCCTCTGGTTTCACTGATGCAATAGGGTATGACCTAACAGCAAAACGTCGGATATCTATCCCAAAACTACTCAGTAGTGCAAACGCTGAATTCTTCTTCAGCTGAGCGATCTAAAGTTTCTCATGACCTATTAAAAAAAGATCTCGTTTAGAAATTTAATGGTAACTCGGAAATTGAAAACATATCCAAAACAATGATCAGCCAATTATATAGTTGGACAACACACTGAGAAAACTGAAGGCCGGAAGTCAACCAATCAGGTTCAGGATACACCCACCAAGCGACCGACCAAATCACACTTAGGTAAATTAGCATGTTATAAATGTTCATTCAAAACAAATTACTTTACTTACTTGTGAAGCTTCAATATACTGATGACAATGTCTAGCATGACACTGAAACGTTTCGTAACTAAAGCCCTAACTCAGAGGACAACGCACTCTGAACAAAATACAGTAAACAATTTACAAAACACTTTCGAGCGTAAGGAAACATTTTAGCGTCGTCACCATTAGGTTTTACCAGTAAATATCACAAAACAATAAATGGCCCTGTCACGTAAAAGAAATTATGAACGAAGTATAGTTTTGGATGTAACTTGAAATGATTTTTGAAATATCAAATCCATTTTATTCAAATTATATCATACTTGGAAAAATCACTTAAGATCAGTCATGAATACTGAGCAAATAAATTTACATTATGTTGTTGTTTTCATAGCTTAAATATAATATCAAGTTTGTGTTCATCATGGAATGACATCAGATAGAGAGACGTTGGAAACCTGAGCAGTTGTTTCTTTTTAGGATGAGACTCCTCAAAAGTGTGCGCCTCCACCTTGGCAAGGCGTCGAGTGCAGGATCA